TTTTTTTTTTTGAGATAGAGTCTCACTCTATTCTGGGTTGAGTAGCTGGCATTATCATAGCTCAGAACAACCTCAAACTTTCTCTCTCTCTTTTTTTTTTTTTTGAGACAGAGCCTCAAGCTATCCCCCTGGGTAGAGTGCTGTGACATCACAGCTCACAGCAACCTCCTACTCCTGGGCTCAAGCGAGTCTCCTGCCTCAGCCTCACAAGTAGCTGGGACCACAGACGCCCGCCACAACGCCAGGCTATTTTTTTGGTTGCAGCCACCAGGTCTGGCTATTCCTCTATCCCCCTTTTTTAAAGTACAGACAGGATCTTGTTCTTACTCAGGCTGGAGTTGAACTCCTAAGCTCAAGCAATCCTTATCTGCCTTGGCCTCCCAGAGTGGAAAATTCAGTTTCTTTCTTTCTTTTCACTTTGTTGCTCTTGGTAGAGTGCCATGATGTTATAGTTCACAGTAACCTCTAACTATTGGACTTAAGTGATTCTCTTGCCTCAGCCTCTCAGATAGCTGGGACTACAGGCACCTGCCACAATGCCCAGGTACTTTTAGAGACAGGCTCTGGCTCCTGCTCAGGCTGGTCTCATACCTGAGAGCTCAGGTAATCCACCCGCCTCAGCCTACCAGAGTGCTAGGGGCATGAGCCACAGTGCCCGGCTTTGAAAACTCAGTTTCTTAAAAAGTGAAAAATAGGCTCAGCGCCTGTGGCTCAAGCAGCTAAGGCGCCAGCCACATACACCTGAGCTGGCAGCGTGTTTGAATCCAGACTGGGTCCATCAAACAACAATGATGGTTGCAATCAAAAAATAACCAGGTGTTGTGGCGAGTGCCTGTAGTCCCAGCTACTTGGGAGGCGGAGGCACAGGATACTCCCTTGAGCCCAGGAGTTGGAGGTTGCTGTGAGCTGTGACACCACAGCACTCTACCGAGGATGACAAAATGGGACTCTGCCTCTAAAAAAAAAAAAAATTAAAAAAAGTTAAAAATGCAGGGTGGCACCTGTGGCTCAGTGAGTAGGGTGCTGGCCCCATATACCGAGGGTGGCAGGTTCCAACTTGGTCCCAGCCAAATTGTAACAAAAAAATAGCTGGGCGATGTGGCAGGTGCCTGTACTCCCAACTACTCGGGAAGCAGAGGCAAGATCACTTAAGCCGAAGAGCTGGAGGTTGCTGTGAGCTGTGACGCCACAGCACTCTACTGAGGGCGACAAACAGAGATTGTTTCTTTTAAAAAAAAAAAAAGTTAAAAATACAGAGAGTGTTAAAAAAAAGTATGCATATTTTAAAAGATGTTACCTATGTATTGTTTTTTGGAGTTGAATTGAATTATGATAGCAATAGATAGTATGACATTCTCCCCAAAGAGGCATTAATCAAATTAATGCTAGAGTCACGGTATGGCAGTCAGGACAGTCAAAAGAAAATGGCATTAGTTGGGTAATCCTCGGAGGAGTGCAAGATCGTTTAGAAGTGTCACTTGAAATTTGAGAACGTTGTGGAAGTACAATGGAAGCTTGTATACAATAGAACTTCCAACATGCCAAGAAGCGTACACACTTTGTAATTAAGTTTGAGATGCATGATACTACCTATGATGTGCACAAGGGAAGATCCAGGAGGCCTCCCAATGTTTCTCAAGCAGTAGTTTGCTGTATTCAGAAGTGTACGATGGTAACTACTTTGAGTATCTCTTGAAATCACAGAAGTCAAACATGACTTCTATTCACCTTTTGTTACCAGTACATACTGAGTATTACAATTTTTCTTTGAGACAGAGCCTCAAGCTGTTGCCCTGGGTAGAGTGCCGAGGCTTCACAGCTCACAGCAACCTCCAACTCCTAGGTCTAAGCGTTTCTCTTGCCTCAGCCTCCCAGGTAGCTGGGACTACAGGTGCCCGCCACAAGGCGCAGCCATTTTTTGGTTGTAGTTGTCGTTGTTTGGCAGGCCTGGGCTGGATTTGAACCTGCCAGCTCTGGTGTATGTGGCTGGTGCCTTAGCTGCTTGAGCTACAGGCTCCGAGCCAACAATTTTTTTGTTTTGGAGATAAGTTTCATTTTGTCACCCAGAGTGCTGTAGCATCATAGCTCACAGCAACCTCAAACTCCTGGGCTCAAGTGATTCTCTTGCCTCAGCCTCCCAAGTAGCTGGGACTACAGGCGCCTGCCACAAAGCCCGGCTTATTTTTTTTTGTTGTTGTTGTTGTTGCAGTTTAGCTGGGGCCGGGTTTGAATGCACCACCCTCCAGTATATGGGGCTGGCGCCTACCCACTGAGCCACAGGTGCCACCCGATGCTAAGTTTTTTAAACAGAAAAGCCATCTAAGGTATATTAGATCTAATTG